TGCCTTTTTATAGAGAGGTCAAAGTTCAGGGTCAGCTGGAAAGCCTGGAGCTGGCAGGGTTTCACAGACTTGCTCACGGACACTTGAGGAGCATGCATTGTGGTGTGTCCCCTAATTACAGGCTCACAACCTTTTTGGCTTCTGACCACATCTGCAAAAAAAATGTGGAGAAAATAGTGAAATATACCATTATGACCATCTTATATAATGAGGAGTCCATGTTTTATCCTACCATCAGTTCCAAACCCAGAAATACTCAGTTTACTTTCATATATGAATATGAATAAAAACAACAAATCCTCAATCTGAAAAATTTGAGTAGACCATTTTTAACATTTTTGCTTGGAAAATTACTGAAAAGATACATTTTCTCTTGATTGACTAATTTATTGATGAACTAATCAAAACTTATAATTTCTACTCTACTACTGTACCTGTTAAAACAATGCAAAGCAATGTGTACTTAGGACCAGAGAAGAATGTCAATATCAGACAATTCTGCAAAAAGATGACAGTCGAAACCACATCTGCCTATGGATCAATATCAAGTTATACAATAACAAGTTTGTTGTTATCACAAGAAAAGTTTCTTGTGATAATGTGATAAATTTGTTGCAATAACTTGGAAATATGATGTGATGGTGTGAAAAAGATCTTGTTATAACAATAAACTTAAAATTTTTTCTGGTGTGGCAGGCATTAAGAATAACTTTATAGAAATAGCCAATCTTCTCGCCGATGCTCTTGTGTGCTCATGTATAGAGGCATCAGTATTAAATTGAAACTATTTCATAACCAGTTAATAACGCCTTGTAGTGAGGAAAAGATTGTGGTCACAGCAGATAAATTATAGTCAGGATTAGACAACAAAAACACTAACTTACTTCAGGTTTGTGACATGGGTGCTATCTGTCCACCCACCTCCCCGTGAAGCCAGGCAGATTGTAAGGATGTGGTGATCCTTACAATCTGCCTGGCTTCATGCATTAAAGGGGCACACCACTTCCTGCACTGGCACTGAACATTGACATTGGGCGTAAACTATGAGGTTCAGAATCATCTAACATGGACGTGGGCTTGTCCACTGCTTGTGACCAGTTCAACCAAATACTATTCATATTTAGCCTATAACGAAAAAAGAATAGAGGGAAGCAATGTGTGTTTCTGTCTTCCTCCCTTGTTATCATTTCACATCCTCTGATTTATCTTGCAGTCACTTGAGGGGGGTCCAGACATCCAGGTTTGGAACCGCTGCCGAATCAGTCTATTTTTATAGATAATACAGGGCACAAACAGAAACCCTCAGACTCACGTGTCTCTTTCTATCAGCAACTGGGACGCCTTGGCTCCAGTGATATTGTTCTGCTGTTTTTATGTCCCTGCCCATCCTGCTCCGATGATCCCGTCATTATCACACCCTTAATGCATCTCACCACACTCTACATTTCCTCTGGCATGCCATCCATCTGCCTAATGGGCCAGTAGGGTGCGGCCGGCCAGTCATCACTTGTGCACACTGCTTTTTGTGTGTGTGTGTGTGTGTGTGTGTGTGTGTATTTGTACGTCACCTATCTTTTTAACTATTGTTTGCATCAAAAGGTGGATTTAAAGTTGTCCATTTGTGATTCTGTCATGTCATATCCAGCCCTTGTTTACACCCACTCATTCAATTTGTGTTTGTGCCTCTGTCCATGTCATTGGTTACTGTCTATCTTCTGTATGCACTGTAGCTGTGTGTATGTGTGTGTGTATATTATCTCATATGTTTGTGTGTGAGTGCCAGTGAACTCTCTAACTGCGTCAGCCATTAGGCCATTATGGACTGTAACTGAATCCTCTGAAAGCTCTGCTCTCGTCCACTGCTGGAGGGCGATGATGGATGGGCGTGTGGAGGGATGAGAGTAGTCATGTCGTTGCTGGACGGTTGTAAAAACAAATAGAGGAGTGTGTAGAGAGGTGTGCAGGAGAGGTAGAGGGCATCTGAGGTGATTCCCACTGTACCAGGCTGAACACACTTACGATCACAGAAGACGGGAAACAGCCCCGACCTTGGTACTCTCCTCTCGGCTGAGTCATAAGTTTAGAATAAGAGGATTGTCGGGCTTTCTTTAGTGTTAGGGTGTGTCTGCATTCACCTTATAACAACTTTCATGCAAGAAAGGCAACTTAAAGCGTTGACAAGAGGAAACAACCAAATAAATTAGTTAGTTATTCTGTAAAACTAAATAGTTGAATAGTTAAAACATAAAAACATGTCTAATTTATGGAGATAATATGCAGAGAAGATACAGATTTAAGTGCACCAGTTCAGCAACAATCTGTGTCCTTTAGTAAAAAGCGGTTATCACTGACAACATTTTGACATGTCACTGTAGAAAAAGCAAAAGGTTTAAATAATAAAATAAACGATTGCTGGCTGTCACATTGTGTTTACCTGCACATTAGTATCATATTCAGGATATATAGTGTGTACATTTGACCTGAGAAACACGGTTAATCCTGTATACATGATCATTACAGTACCTGATGGATCTTACCACTGACTTCTTTCTGTACCGACTGAGTTACCTCAGTGGTTGATAATTAGCAGAATGTGATTTTAGGCTGACTGAATTAATGAAAAGCAAGAGCAACAATACAGTCCATGAGGATCATTATCATTATTAACCATCATATTTTTAGATTTGCTGACTAACTACAGATGGATCAGGTGACATATGCATGTTTCTCAAAACCAGAATATAATATTTACTTGAGCAACACTAAACCTGAATACTTAATAAATTAATTGAATAATTACCTATTTCTAAACATGTCATTAATAACTGTGGTTTTCTACTACGACAAGTAAAAATATCTGCTGTGAAAAAGGCCTATTCCCAGTGAAGTGAAGAAATACATCAGTCATTCTGTATTTATTGTACTTTTAGAGGAGAAAGCCAAGAGAAATGGTGGATAAAAAGGTTTTTCTTGAGAATAATAATGTGAATACTTGGACCAACAAAGGTTATTACAGTTAACTAAAACTAAAAACTAAAAACTAGCTGTGAAAAAACATTTAAGTTAACTGAAATAAAAATAAAAACTAGATTTTAGAAAGAAAACAAAAAGTAAATGAAACAATATTGTGTACAAACACCATGAGAAGGCGTTGGTGCATATGTTTATTGAGGCAGACAGAGATATCTGTTTGTATTGTAATAGCTATTCTGAACTTCTTAAATCTTGCCCCTGACAGATACCTCCCTTATAACACTGAAACTAATAAAAAAACTAAACTAAAACTAAACTGAACTGAAAACAAAAAGACGAAAAATACACAATCATAATAACTCTGACTTGGACTGATGTTATGGATAAAAATAATAAAGTATTTAAAAGATAAAATAAAATAGATTTCCTGCTGAACTCAAAAAAGGGGACAGATGTTTTTTAAATAAATATAATTGTGATCAAATTAAAATGGCATCTCCAGAGACCCTCAATCCCCATTTTAATTGCATGTTATAAAGCAAAGTTCATGTCTACAGCTGTGATGCTTGAGGCAGTGACACAATACACACAAAGACACATACAACACACACAGACACAACTTCAACCACTAAATACCAAAACACATTGATTGTTATTGAATTAGCCCGTCCCCTGACGTCCATGATGAATTATTTAGTGTTTTGCTCTTGTGTTGTTGACGGTCAAGGCCAGACCTTCGACAGTCTCTGAGGTTCAGGGCGAGATGACAGGTAGAGGACCAGTAACTGCTTTTAACACACTCCCCCTTCTCCTCACCCTGGTCTCCCACCGGTCTCGTACTCTTCCTCCTCCTACTGCAGCCATGCCCCTCATTCCCTGCTTCTCCCCTCTTTCTGTCTCTCACTCCTGACTCACCCTGCCTCCCAGCTAATAGTGCCTGACTCATGTTATTCTCAGAGCTGTCTGTGTGTCAAGGGCAGACTCAGAGGGGAGAGTGAGGGAGGATGGAGGGTGGGAGGGTGGGAGGGTGAGGAAGGAGTCAGAGCAGGGAGGGGAAGGGTGGGATTGGAGTACTGGAGGAGATATGACAGTGGAAGTACAAGAAGGGATAAAAGAAAATTACTTCTGATATATCATCAGATAGATAAAGAGACACTGGAGTGTTGTATAAAGAAAGAAAAGCCTCGAGTGCTTGTGATCACTAGAGGAATTGTGTTTGAGTGATCAGATATCTGAGCCATCAGCAGGCATTTAAAAGCTTTAGTGGACTAAAAGCTGTGTGTGTGTGTGTGTGTGTGTGTGTGTGTGTGTGTGTGTGTGTGTGTGTGTGTGTGTGTCTTTACTAATGAAGTTATTACGACCTCAGCTGATCTCAGAGCTGCTGAGAATAGGCTGCAGCTACATACAATTGCACTTTATGGTGTTTTTACAGTTGGTTCATGTTTACACGTCCTGACCTCAGTTCTGTTCTTCGCCACTCACTCTCTCATCCCAACGGACTTCTGCGGTATCTGTCGCTCACTTGATCTCTGCATCCTTGCCCTCCTTCTCCTAGTCCCTCCTGCTGCCCCCGCTGGTAACAACACAGCTGCTAAGTCAGAGGAATAAGCATCCTCTCAGTATTCAATCCATCATTCTAAAGCTGAATTTTCTCCCATTTCTCTGTTTTGCATGTCGAGCTCAAAAGCAGCACGTAGAGACACAACTCTCCTGCCCTGGGGCTCAAACTGCTTGCACGACGTTTTGTGTCTCCACACTGTGAGACATTAGTATTAGCTATTTATAGTCAGCTCACTGCCATCCTGAGGAAGTACTGTGGAGGCTAGATTTCACCGTGGCTCTATTAAAAGACACAGAGTGAGATGTCAGCAAAATATCCCCGTCTTTGTTTTACACTCATGGGACGTACTTGTCGTTTAAACTTCACTAAACGAGACTCAAAGTGTTTGCATGAACAAAATCATTATTACAATTCTTTTTTATAAAAGCATTTTTAACTTGTTCCCTCTCTTCCTTCCTTCCTGCAGCGTGTCTGTTGCAGTCGGAGCTGGTAAACTACGAGAGAGTGAAGGAGTACTGTCTGAAGGTGCTGAGCCACCAGAGAGACCACTTCAAGGCCATGTACCGAGCTGGCATCGCCTTCTATCACCTGGGTGACTACGAATGTGCCCTACGTTACCTGCGTGACGCCAAGAACCGCGAACCCTCAGGTGAGGGTGAACAGTGCATTCAGTGTCACTCACATAACAAGTGACAGATTACTGCAGGTTGAAGCAGAGCTCTTTAGTTTTAAGGTTATTATATAAAACTATATAATAATAATATATAATATATATATAGTATAAACTTCAATACCTGAGCTACAAGATTGTGAAGCATTTGAACATGTTGCATTGAAGACAATGACGTCATGTCCTTGATATTTTCTATTTATTTATTTGTAAAATAATGAAGTTTAACTTGTTATTCCTCAATTCTACAACTTATTAGGGAAAGAAAATTAGCATAATTACAAGTTTCACTGTCTCCCTCCCACACACACACACACACACACACACACACACACACACAAATGTTATTCCTAACAGTACGGAGAAGGTTTTAAAACGCCATTTATCAGTTGGAAAGTAAAAGTGTAATAAAATTATTAACTGAATAAATAAAAGATAAAAAGTAAAATTAGTAATTTGGTGGTGAGGGGTGAGTTTGCTTTCAACATTTAGAAAGCACTGTTTGTGTCCTCAAGACCTTGGGATGCTTTCCTCATAAAATATTTGCAGAGCCGATTTTTGGAATAACTTGAAACCGCCACCGATCCATATTTAGTCTTCTTCTTCCTCCTTGCCCTTGTTGAGGCTTTGCTACATTTGTTGCAACAGTGGAATATCACGGTACCACTGGCAGGACATTGTTAGCCACAATGGTGGAGAAGTAATGATAATAATGATAATACTGTAGTGCCTATCAGGTAGCAAGGTCTCTGATGAGCTACATGAGTCAACAAGCTTTAAATAAACAAAGCAGAGCCGTTCAACTACTGCAAGCTCTGTTTTAATATCAGAGTGTGTCTCTACATGCAGGTAATTTCCTCTGCATGAGCTTCGTGGGATTTAAAATTAACAATATTAAGTATTCAGCCATGTGCCTTTGCCCTTTTTTTCCAAAGTTATTTTTGCCTCCGGTATACACTTTTATAAGGTCGCGTTCTGTCTCTTTTAGAGATCTCCTGTAATGTTATTGGAGAAAGTGAATGACATGTTTACTTCTTGAAACCTGGGCCACATTTGTGCTCTGTCATAACCAAAGTCAATGCTGTGCCTCTATTGTTCTGACATGAAAGAAGCCTAAATTTAACTGCATAGAAAAATAAGATCGCACTGATTGAAGTAAAGATGTGACTCCTCCTTTTTTATTTCAACCTTTCTGCCTCACGGACGCTACATTTCCTCTCTCCCTCACAGACACCAACGTGCTGCGGTACATCCAGCTGACAGAGATGAAGATGAGCAAGAGTGGACAGCGGGAACGAGAGAGCGGCAAAGAGACCCAGGGCTAACCCTCGACCTTTTCACCCTCCTGACCCCTCAACCTTTGACCCTACGAGCAGTCCCCACATCGACCCTCCCTCTCTCCACCTCCTCTATCGACTCCTGACAGCAGCACAGCCCACAGACGGAAGAGACAGACCCAATCACCCGCCAGAGATGGATACAAACGGGAGACATATCAAATGCTGTCTGCAACCTGACCTCCTTTTCCTTCTCTTCCCTCTTCCTCTCCCCCCTTTTTCTCCCTCAGGTGCTGTGGTTCCTCTCCCCAGACGCAGACAGTCGAGCAAACATGAAAAAAAAACAACAAAAAACAAGGAAAATGCTGTATTATACTCATACGAAACAGTCAATGTGGTGGAATGAAAAAGGAGCTTCAAAACATACATATGAATAATGGACATTTGCGTGATTTAGTAAATGTTTTAAAAACATAAAATGCATTTTGTTTCTGCTCTCTTGCTCTCTCTTTTTCTCTCTGCCTTCTCTCTCTCCGTCTTATTTCGAACGGAGAATATCAGTGGTGGGGGGGTGGGTTGGGGAGCTCGACTACACCGAGAGGAGGGTGGGGATGTGCGTGTGCGTTGAGGCAGTTCAGAGCATAAGCAGGGGATAGTGAGAGATGTGTGTGACACATATCAAGACCGTAGCTTAATTTGATTGTACATCCAACCCCAACAGGGCTCCCTCAGACCCTTACCCAGACTACGGGACAGACTAGCACGAGAAATCTTTCATTAAGTAGAGGAAAAAGCTTAATCTATCGCTCTTCTGTCTCACTTTTCTTTCCTGGATGCCATGTATCTCAGTTTTTGGACTGTTTTTTCAATTCAAGGGCTAATCCAAGTGTTTGTAATCCGTTACTAGGGTTTTTAATTTGCTTTCGGTGTTCATCATACTCAGTAGTAGTTAATCGGTTGTTAATAGCATCTGTGTGCGCAGCAAACAGACAACATTCTCGGTTCTTGCTGTTATCAGGTGTACTATTGTGGAAACTGGTGTGTCTTGAATCTGTTGTCCAAAGTCCCTCCTGGGTTGTGTGTCATTGTTGATGTTGTTGAGACTGTCAAAGCCCCTCCCTCCCTCCCTCCCTCCCTCTCTGTTCTCCCGTTAATGATGTCACAACGGAAAATAGCCAATGGGATCGGAGTTCCATCAACCCGGCGTTGGCTAGATGGGGATCCACTTAAAAAGTTTCACAGCGAGAAACACTTTTCAAATTTTTAAACGGAGGTCCAACCTTTTATCGGTAATGCCGAAGCTTCCCAGACATCGATAACACGCTGAGGACACTCTGGGCAGCGTTAGTGCAGGGAAAACAATCACACACATCTGTCCTGGAGCACTTAGTGCACTTCAACAACAAGAGTGTGCCATTTGAGATTTCTTCCTCTTCCAGTTTATCTGTGTTTGAGTATTGTTCCAAACATGGAGTTGTAAGGGCAGATTAAGCATTAGACAACACTACTGCTGATACTGTCTGCAGATATCTATGGCCATAGCTGTCAGAAGATACATAAAGATTATTTGCTTCTCTTGTGACTTGTGAAAGCCGAATCATTGATAATGCAAATGTTGCTTTTATGATAGCTTTACCACGGGCTTAAATCTGCCTGCCCTGTTCTGCAGAAGGTTGGATTGATGATTTGTGAAAGCATGACCTGAATTTCCCTCGTCTCTGATGCCATGAAACTCTTTCCCGTGTGCAAGCACAACTCCTGCATGTAACGTGCGGCTCCAAAGAGTAACTTCAGATGTATGGGATAGGGATTATATCTGCTCTATTGCTTTCTGTCATGGCATGCTGCCACACTGTTTGCTCATACCTCTATTTTATCCATTCTGCCCTTTATAAATAAACACAGAAGGTTGGGACAGACTGTGATCACAGCAGTAGAATAAGTATCAAATAAATCTGGACAGAAAAAAGAAAGAGGCCTTTAATAAATCAGGGTCACCTTCTGCCTCAGCCAAGGTGAGAGATAAGAGGTAATTTCACTGCTTAAGAATTTTTTTAAAAAGGGTGGAAGAGGAAATAAAAGAACGATGCTGTAAAAGATTTCCCCTCCCCTTTTCTTCCAGTGACCTGCTAGGAGGTAAATAGGGACCTAAGTGTGTCAATGGGACTCTGGAGAGACGGCACCATGCGTTGAGGAGACCGGCATGATACAGAGAGGGCTCCATTGGAGGGAGAAGTAGGCCACCATCAGCCCCAGTAAAGCAGCTGCAGCTCCGAGCGACACAAACACAAAGGTTTAGTGTTGGGAGATTTATCACCATACATCATATGGCTGAACGTAATATATGATCAGGCATTAACCTGCCACAATCTCCACTGTTCTGAGAGGGATTTCCATCTGCAGAGATCGGCTCCTATCCAGTCCACATCGTTATATAGTGTACACAGAACATGATCATGTTTTCTTAGAGGAAAGGTTTGACATTTTGGGAACTCTTCTTATTCACTTTTTCACTGAGAGTCAGATTTTAAAATAGATGCCAGTCTCATGAAGCTGCAGTCGGTTAGCTTAGCTTAGCACAATGACTGGAAACAGGGGAAAACAGCTAGCCTGGCCCACCTTCCAGCACCTCTAAAGATCACAAATTAACATTTTATATTTTGTTTAATCTTTACAAAAACTGATGTCTAAAAACAACGATTTGACATTTTTATGGCCGGGACCAGTTGGTAGATAATCACAGACCAATCAGCGTCGTTTGAGGAACTTCTGGCAGCTACAGCGTGAGTTACGGGCGAGGTCCAATGCTAGATGTGTGTGAAAAGTGACAGTTTGCCCAAAAACAACAATGGCAGCTGCTACAGAGGTTAACATAGATGCTGCTGGTTCGACTACGTTATACGCTTGATTGATCTGATTGGTTGAAGTCACCTGCCAAGTATTTTTCTGAAAGTGCCTCCTCTTTTCCAAACAGTTTCCAGCAAAGACTTCCCAGATTGTTTGTGTGTAACAAACCATCTGGTGAAGTCGGGTTACGTTGCCAGGCAACCAGTTGAATTCACTGCTCATCTCTCAGCAAGAAAGTGAACACAAATGTTGAACTTTCCCTTTAAGATATCTTACTTTTTCTTGCTTAGTGAAATTAATTCGATCCCGCCACTTGTTTGACCGATAGCTGACAAATCTCTGGTGTAAATCACTAATTATCAGACCCCAAAATAATGTGAAAATTCTCAAGAACAGAGTGAGAAACATTCGAGTTTGTCAACATCGCTCAGCTCTGGGGTTAAAACATCAGGTCCAGAAACCTTCGTCACTCCTGATGTTCCTCTGTACTCTCTTCTCCCCTCTTCCCCTGGTGTCCCAGAGGAAATAAATCAACAAAACAGTGAGGAATAACACCTGCAGGCTCGGTCTCCATGGCTGCCTGGGCTGAGTCTACTCACCCACGGCCCCCTCGGGGATCGGTCTCCTCCCGTGGTCCTCTCTCCATGGCACCAGTCCGCCATCTTGTTTTTGTCTCGCTGTGCTAAGTCATTCTAGCTCAACACGTGCTACGGCCGCCTTGGGGATAACTAGCTGCACATAAAGCAGGTTCATTTCTGGCTGTATCAGTTCTTGATATAATGGCAGTGCTGACTCCGAGGCTGTAATCGTGAGCATAATCTGACAACACGCTGTCTGTGCAAAAAGAGATTCTTGGTCTCCGCGTCAGTGTAGCTTCGAAAAGAAACAACAAAAAGCACAACAAAAAAGAGACGGAAAAATTAAAACTACTGGCTGTGTTATTTCTTTCTCTTTTGCTTTGATGTCATTTGAGGTAAATGTTTGTCAAATGTCAGAGTAGTTTTTGTGAATATATGATACAAATGTACAAAAAAAATTACAAAAATGAAAAGTTTTATGGTCGTGAAAAGCTTTAATTTACTGAATAACTTTATGAAACGGAAAAGAAAAGCAAGAGATAGAAAACAGAATTTTACTATAGCTCCTCCACAGAGCTGCTTTGTGACTGTGTCTGTATTTGTTGGTATTTCTGTTGACGTCCCTCTTCATCATCGAGGGATCCAGAACCGGCTCAGAGTGTGTGCAACGCCCTTTGACCCCTCTCCCCCCTTCTGTCCGAGTGACATTTCATCCGACTCGTCTGTTTGTGCACAGTAAGACGACCAGTTAACGCAGCAGTGGAGGAGAACTCTGAGGGACTCGTACCGGAGCGCAGAGCTGCTCCTCACAGCCACAGATCTCCATCCTGTTTGTTTCTGCAGTGATGGAGAGAAAAAAATAAAAATAAGGACATGAAGCTGGGGGGGGGAGGGGTGGCGTCGAGGCTATGACTGCCTTTTTGTCTCTCGCCTCGCTCCCAAGAGGCCTCCCCCCCCATTCAACATCCAAACATCACAGGCGTCCATCACTGGTTTTACTGAACTTCTAGCCCGGGAATGCACTATCGATTGGTAAATGAAGATTATGAATAAAGTTTCAAACAAAGAGGAATGTTGTTGTTGTGTGGTCAGAAAAAAAAGTCTGTTTACTAAACAAAGTTATAAAGCCTCGAGTGATGTCACTTGAGTCAGAGTTGGTTGGGGCAGAGGAAGGGTGAAAATTTTAAAAATCTAGAAAGAAGGCGACCTCGTAACCTCAACTCTGCTGCATGCTAACATTTTAAGCTACATTCCACAAACTCTTTTAAAGGTACACTACTACATTTTTTACACATGACGAAGAAGAATAAGTTGTGTCATGTCTTCTGTTGCCTGGGACCTTTTCTAAAGTCGGGCAGTGGTCTTCAAAGTTCATTCTTGTCCTTAAAAACAACAGTTGATGTGGTTTCTTTAGAAGCTGTTCTGGAGCTATCGATCATGTCACATGATACAAACACTTCAAGGACTTGTTGTCCATGCTGAAAGCTGACCTCCAAAGTGAATTCAATCTGCTGAAGAAGACCATGTGATATGACTGAAAGCTATGAAGAATAGCTATTGAATAGACCCGTCTCTCAACACCTCACAACCCGACTCAACAGAGTGTTTTTTTGACAAAGGAGCGAGAGAGTTAAAACAAAAAGATGAACAACAGGGAAGCAGAGAGGGAGATTATTTTGCAGGTCTCGTTGAGCACAGATGCTGCATCAGCTCCACCTTCTGACTGCCTGGAACAAAAGAGAAGAGACAACCAGAGAAGACAAACAACAACAGAGCCAGAAAGTGTCAGAAACACTGATGCAGCTGAGAATATCAGAGACATTTAGCCCCTAACAGCCCCCCCTAAGTTTAAAAAAAAAAGCTGGATCTGGATGCAACCAATAACATACTTATCTTCTGCTCCCATTTAAACATCTTTTAGTTTCTAAGTGGTTTAATCTCGGATCTGATTTCATTATTCTGTGTCTTTACCACCATTTTCTGGGCTCGACTTACTCTCCCTGTCACGGTTTAATGATGCGATAAAGATTTAGTTAAACACAAAGAGAGTCCTTATGCAGATCTGAAGACACACCAACTGGCAGGCAATCTGGTTAGTTACTGTTTCTTGTATCTCTCCCTCTCTATCCACCTCTCCTCCTTTCATCCCTCCACCAACGCTGTCACCACCTGAATTTGCCATGTATGTTCCCCCCCCCGACACAAAGGATTAAAAGGAAAGATAGAATGACAGATAGCAGTTAATATGGTGAGGAAAGCACGGAGAAGGGAAAGTGAGAGAGTCTTCTCAAAGAGCAGATCTTATTAAAAAAAGACGAGGAGAGCAGCACACACACCGTCTTCCTACCAGACAAAACACTTGTGTGTGAACTGTGAACCAGCCAGGCGAAGCTCAGCCTATCCTTTCTGCTGGCTCTTTAACACCCCTCTCTGTCTCTCTCTCTTTCTCTTGCTCACTTCTTTTTCAGGCCCATCATCCCTTTTTCCCCTGTTTTTCTTTGTTGTTGCTTTTAATAGCATCACCATGGAAGTGAAGAGGGGTTGCTAGGTAACTGGCTGGCGTCTGGAAGGGTGTTTGATTGGCGGTCACACTGACAGACACAACACAGTGTGTGTGTGTGTGTGTGTGTGTGTGTGTGTGTGTGTGTGTGTGTGTGTGTATCATCTGTATACACTGCATGTGCATCCGTCTTTACATTACAAAGGTCATCACTTTAAAATAGCACATTGTGTTTGAAGATTTATTTTCCACTCTCTCTAAGATCTCAAATTTAATCCTTAACATCTTTGTTCGCTGCGTTGAATGCATGAGCGCACCTTTATGTGCCTTTTATGGTAACTGCACAGGAATTCATTACAAGGAGAAAAACAGCACACTTGGAGATAATATGACATCATAGGCTGCGGTGGTGACACCTAGAGGATTTTGTCTGTCACTGCAGTCGCCCTTTGTCTCTGCTGGAACAAGCAAACAGTGTGAAACAACCATCAGGACGACCACATTTATGGAGTTATTGTGCAACCCTGAGGTAATTTACTGGAGTGTGTTGCTTTTGTGCTATTTTATGCCTCTACTCTGCTACATTTCAAAGGGAAATATTGCACTTTTTACTCACTACAACAATGGTAGTTGGTCCTTATTTGTCAGATTAAGATTTGACATTAAAAACATCCAATAAAATAATGAAATAAAACACATTGTGAAAGATTAAAATAGTTGTTTCCAACATTTTTGGACACATTTGTGAGAGAGAGTAGTTTCAGTCAAATACATGTTTAAAGCAAAAGAAAAAAATATTATTAATCATTAAAGAAAACAGAAATCCAGGGATGCTGGAAGTTAGAGTCAAATCTCTCCGTATAATGACGTCATATTTAATGCTAAATGCATGACATTCATAGTTTTCGCATTAATTTGAATGGCCAGGATCATTTATAGCCTATTTAATTGTTATTAACAACATTTTACACAAATTGTTTTAACTTTAAGCAGATAAAACTAATGACAAACAAGGCAAAACCTCTTTCTTGTAATAAATACTTTGTGTGTTCACATGTAAATCCCAGTAAAAGAGGAGAAAGTCATAAGTCCCCTCCAGCTTTACAAGCCCTCAGATTTATCTTATGACCCTCTGTAGGGGCCCCAACCCCTAGCTCAGGTATCAGTAGACTACCTGAAGTAGTTAAAAGTAGCTCAACCAGCTTCTTTACAGTTAAATACTAAAACATTCATGAAGGAGCATCTATTAATGTCATATAGTTAATATATATATATATAATATAAAAGTCACTGGGGGACATTTCTGATTCTTTTACTTTATCTTTCTTATTGGTACAAGACTAAGAGATCTGACTGCTTCCTCCATCACTGCTCAGATATTATAGATCTAATGAGGATATAATGGATGGAATGAATAAATACATGTAGCACTGACACTGAAACATCTTTCTTTGTTTTTTATTCGTCTCTCATTCGTCACATTTCACACTTATTCCTCACTGAACCCAGAAATGTCACAGGTTGAGACTAGAGACAACATGGACGTTTCAGTAAGCAGTTTCCTAGGTTTTCCTTGGTTTTTCCTGTTATATTAACAAATATATACAGATATCCCAGGAAGAGCATCGTAATAATAATTAATCCTTTCCAATAATAACAATAAATTTAATAAATACTCAGTGTTCTTAACCACACGAGGAGAATGAGTTTGGGCTCACTCTTCTACCGATGGGATTGTCATCATCCCATACAAATAACAACACACACACACACACACACACACACACACACACACACACACACACACACACACACACACACACACACACACACACACACACGCATATTCACACTCACACACTCATTTAGAGAAATTTGCACTGTCAAGTAAATAACCACCTGCAGAGGAAATGTCCACGGTGCGAAAACAACTCCGCAGATAAAAGTTGTCAGCCGTGAGTCCACAGAGAGACCGATGTTGAATACGTCAGAGGAGAACATGAACCTTCCTTTTGTTTGTGTCCATTTCAGTGGCGTGAACGGGATCCATACAGAGTGCTACTGACCGCTAGTGAGGAATGTTTATATCAGAAACAAAGAAAAACGTGTGAAAGACAAACAGATGAGAAAGTGTGTAGCAACCAGTGGTCTTATTTTGAAGAACTGCTGCACCATTCAAACGTAAAATAACATGCACTGAAAAAGCACCAGCACGCAAAAGTTGTTCTTCCACACATGTACAGTAATATATATACACATTCACACAAAGAGAAACACACCTGGCCTGCCAAACCGATAGAAAAACATTTTTGCTAACAGGTTGCGGAAGGGATGCACTGAGAAAATAAACTCTGTTTTTTTTTTTTGTACAAGGCTGAGGATATCACCAGTCCACCAGTGCAGTGAGAGAGAAAAAAAGGCTTTTTTCCTGTCTCAGTCTTGCAGGGAAGAGGTGACGACGACCCCCCAGTGCAGAGAAATGACACGTGAGGATGAAGGCAGAGCTGACGCAGGAGGGGTTTATGGGAGATATTTGTGCACCGGCAGAACAAACGGTGTGCAAAACAAGAACAAAGACACAGTCCAGCTCCTTTTTTGTAGCGATGTATGTTTAGGTGAAATGTGATTTTTTTTCTTGTGGTCTTTGTGTAGTGAGAGATGCAAGCAGAAAGTGAACAGCTACACAGACACGCTAAAGCACAAGCAGATGGGTCAAAATGAACAGTTAGTAAAGTCAAAAAAGTGGCTTTTTAAGTACTTGAATGGCTTTTGAAGGTTGTGAGTCGTGACCTGGTCGTGGGGCGCTAAGAAGCGGGTAGAGATGGCTTCCTGGGAGGGATAAAAGTGTTGGGTAAGGTAGGTGGGTGAGCACACTACAAGGCTTTTTAAAAAGGCCTCTAGGATCCCCAAGTGTCGTGCAGGTTAGAGAGCACTATCAGGGAAAGGCTTGCTCTAAGGGTTTCACACCTTATTAGGACACTAAAAGGACACATGAGAGGAACGGCTTTCAGGAAGTGCCTAAAACATGACGAGATGTTTTTGCAAACTTTCAGTGAGTGCACTTTGCTCGGCTCAGACATCAGTAGGCGTTCCTTATCCAGCCCAAGCTCTTATGTCCTGGGAACGGGTTCAAAAAAAGCAGGAAATGTCCACTTGCTGTTTTTCATTACGAGTATTGTTGTCCGCAGAGCGTGGCCGGTTTCCGCTGTCCACACAGAGGAACGGTGGGGTCCGAACTCTGGCCCTCCACGTCCATGTCCATCAGGTTGCGGGGCGCTGGCGCGGTGCTGGCGCTGCTGTCCCCTGAACCGAGGGGGCTGTCGCAGCTGCTGCCCGGCGACGAGCTGAGAGTCCGGGAGAGAGAGCCCAGCTTCCAGGGGTCGGCTCTCATCCTGGCTGGGGTGGGCCGTGGCCGGGGGGCAAACTCCAGTGTTTTGGGTCTCTCCAGGGGGTTGATGAGGCAGAGAGGATCCGGGTCGGGGATCGGTGGAGCGGGGGCTTTACGCCGCTGGGGGACTGGGAAGATGGCAGAGGGGTCGGGGAGGCGGGGGATGTCCAGGGTGTCCTGGGTACCTGAGTAAAGAAAGAATGAATCATCAATCAATCTCAGCATGCCATCTTAAAATGCATCTGGAGGAGAGAGGAGCTATGGTGATGTGTTTGTGTACTTCCTTTGCTGTAGTCTTTTCTATGGTTTTTGGCACCAGTGACGTATAAAAGAGGTGTGACACACAGCTGGAATGTAGAAAGCATTGCAGAAACACAAATGTATTGATAAGTTGTACTAGTTATTTAAGATGATCAAAACTTTCTGCTCCTCACTGTTTGTGTAGCGCTTTTTTAAGTGTCTGAAGAAGAATTTTGTTAAATGCCTGACGCCTTAACTCCTCTCTCGGGTGGGAGGGACTAAAATGCGAGGCGAGGAGGCGAGGCGAGGCGAGGCGAGGCGAGGATGTACAAACTGGGAAGTGAGAAAGGCCTGAAGACTCTTACCTTTGTTGATAGTTCTGTGTGGTGCTCCCGGTGGAGGAGGCATGGGCATGCTTCCATCTGACGGCGTCCTGTGGTGTCCCAGAGTTTGAGCTCTGGGTCGTATCGCCCCGTCTGAAGGGGTCCGTCTGTGTCCTCTGTTCAGGGCCATGGCTGCAGACACGTGGGTGGGCGTGAGCGACTGGTTGGGCTCCTTCTTGAAGCTCTCCGCCCGCAGGTCCAGGAGTGGGTTGAGGGCAGGAGCCGGTGGGGCCACAGGTGTTTTAACCCCCGGGGTCAGGGGGTACTCGTCGGGGTCGGAGGGAAGAAGGGACTTGGTGGAGTTGCAGTCAGACAGGGAGGACAAAGAGAGGAGTGTAACTGAGGGAGAAGGGTCCATGCAGGGGAGTGTTGAGTCGTGATGTCTGGAGAGGGAGAGGGAGAGGTTTCGGCTGGGCGGAGAGGTGCTGCGACGGAAACGTCCCGTCCGCTGGAAGAGACCCTCCTTCTTCTTACGCTGCTCCTCTCTGAGGTCGTGCTCGTCCTGAAGCACCTGACAACAACACCAGGACACATCAACAAGCTGAGCAGTAGTCTTATAAACAGAAAATCAGCTTAAAAACAACAGCCGGGGTAATTTCACCTTCTTCCTTTAAAGATGTGTTACTCTTTATAATCTCTTCCTCTCCCTATCAAAGCAACTACAGCAATAAGATCACACCCAAATCATTTCATTGATCCTCTCTCTGTACGCTCGGCATCTACTTAGGTAAGAGCCTCATTTGCTTCAACAACAGACGGAAAATCCTCAAATCACAGAATCCCCAAGGTGCTGGAAGCCATCCATGCAGACCTCGGACCACGCTGACTCGACAGCATCGCACATTTCCTGCTGATACTTTGGCAGCGTGCTCATCCTGTTTCATCTCATCCCAAAGGCGATCTATTAGTCTGAGGTCTGGAGACTGCGCAGGTGATTTAGAGTCGCTGTTACTGTACGTTTCTGGTGCAATCATGAGACCACGCATGCTCTGTGACACGGCGGCTGGTGGAAGGAATGTATGAATGAACAGATACTTACACAACAATTTAAAGATTTATCATCCTGTGGGGGATATTTTGTTTGCAAGCAAGGGTTGTAAAAAAAAAGACCCAATAAAAACAAATTAAAATCGATAAAACCTCACATACCGACCAGATCCAGAGCCATAAGAGTTGAGTGTAAATAACATCAGCTCCCAGTTAGATATAGTCAGTAACGGGAGGAACATTGTATAAATGTAACATTTATAACCTAAAACATCAACTAAATACTTAAATATGTTGTAAGAAAAAAATGATTGTATTAATTAGAACATGAAGATTATTTGCTGCTGTTTTGTATGTCAGTTATAGTACATTTTGTAATAGGGTTTGGTTTGCTTATGTTTGGTGATACTGGTTGTTTTGTTTGCTTATTTACTCTAGATGTGTATTTTTATTATTATCAGCAGTAGTAGAGTTTGTGAGCAGCATAGGTCCCATTTGAAAATCGGACCCATTTAACTCCCAGAAAACCAAAAAACTGACCAATCATTTGTTCTTTTTGATTTGTTATTCAGTTATTTTTTTATGAATCCAACATACAGCTTATTTTTTGTACTTTATATTTCATACTCAAGTCTAAAAAATAGGAAATAAACCATTTTGATACTTAATGGGTTGAATTTGTTTGAACAGGAATGCTACTGACTCCTTTGTGTGTTGCACTGGATCACCTGACTTTGCAGCATCTACACCTGAGTGATGGCTCTATTTGATCACAGGATGTTTCTCTCTCTCCGTTCTCTCCGTTCTGTGTTCTCACCTGTAGTTTTCCAAGCTGCAGCAGGTCTTGTCCGAGGCCGACAGACGCGAGCAGAGAGGCGCAACCCAACAGCAACATGTCACTCTTCTTCCTCTGGCTGCAGCGACGGAGCGAGTCCTGGTAGCTCGCCCCCGTCCCCAGGCCTCCGGGCCCCTGACAGCCGCCGACAACCGACACCGCGTTGGGCCCCAGGCTGCCCCACAGGGACCCCTGGTCCTCCACAGCCCCATTACTGCTGGTCTCTGAGGGCAGCAGGGACCCTGGTGACTCCTCAAACTCACAGCACTCCTCTGTTTGAGAGAGAAGAAGTTCAACAAATAAATATGAGCTGATTCTCGTAGGTTAGTGATGAACGACTCACAATGAAAAAACAAAACTCACCCATTTCATTGAGGCTGGAGAAGCCAGCGGTCATAGGTGCATGTTTGGGGGACTTGCCCAGATTTGGTGCACTGGACGACCAAACTTTGGATCCCTCACCCAAAGACTTCAGTCTGAAAACAGACAGAAAGGAATAAGAAACAAGAAGGTTCACGTCATATGAGGGCAGCCGTCATACACAACGATTTCCAACAATTTCCAGAGATAATTGCTTTGTTTCTGGTTGGTCCACCGACTGTAATGAGATATTGATTGAAAGGTTTTGTTTCTGTGTGTTATGAGCAATAATCTGTCCACAACAATATGAGAAAATGTCATTTCATCTCGCCTGTGATAACTGTTATCTCAGTGGGCGAGCAGAAAACGATCCTCATGATCCAGTTTTCTGCAGTTTCATTAGGTACATTGTGTTTAACCTCCTTGCAGAAAAACACTGTCCTGTTGGTAGATTGATTACAATTTATTCATTGATTGATTACAATCTATTCACACCGAGATGTGACAACTTTAGTGACTTTAAAGATTAAATATTTTTACATACAAAACATACAAAGAGATTATAAAATATGATGTTTTGTTATAAATTAAACAATCCAACAGTTTATACAAGTACAGCTGAAACCAGGTCAGTTAATTATTATTGAATGATATTGAAAGACAATTAATTCACTTCACAAACTAAACAAATGTGAAGACTTGCTGCTTTTCATTTTAATTATTTTAATAACTTTGTTTTTAGGTTTGGACTTAGTCAATCAGTATCAATCTTTATGGAGAAATTAATCAGCAGATTGATCGATAATGAAAATAATCATTAGTTGCAGTCACCAATGATCTAATGATATAACATATAATAGTATAACAGACAGAGGGGACACTTTTCTGCATCGAGTACTTTTAACTTTTAATACCTTTTACCTTTTTCCTGATTATACTTACATACTTTTACTTAAGTAACATTTTAAATGCAGGGCTTTAACTTGGAGTGTTTTTACAGTGTGGTATTAATACTTTAACCTCAGTAAAGTAAAATCTTAATACTTCTTCCACCACTGCAGATTTAACATATAATAACAAATGACTTTGTGTTGAAGAGTTATAAATGTTTGTCTTATTGACTCATCATGCACGTACTTATCCTCCCCGCCGACCCTCTCTTTCTGGTGGGTCGAGCTTGGTCCCCACGTACGTCCTTTCTTCTTGCTGGTCGACAGATCTTCCTTCTTACACACAGCGCTGCGGCCCCACGTCTTACTGCCATCGCTCGGTGTCACTGACGGACAAACAGTATAAACATTAAGCACAATGCATCCCTACCTGACATTCACTTCCTCTCACACAGGACGCTTTTTCATTATTTTGGGTGTTTGCACTCACGTCTTATGGCTCTCAGTCGGGGTATGACGCCCGGGCTGGCAGGCGGGGTGGTGCTCTCGCTCCCCTGAGTCTTCCTCTTGTCCACACTGGGAGACGCCTGAACTGTGATCTTATGCTCAAAGCCTACAGGTGAGCAAGAAGAGAAGAAGTTTTTTTTACATAAATAATTTTTCATTCGCATACAGTTTTAAACTTTGGGCACACACACAGCAATGTGCACACTATGAGCTTAAATGAGAATTGAATTAAAAGCCACACAGAGGTGCCCAGATGACTTTTCTGTCAGCGTCGCTCTAATAAAGGCATACAATTCCCCAAAAACTGAATTTAAAAAAGAAGTCTTCCTAAATATACCATGCAACAATTATAAAGTACACAATATATTAGAGAACTATTCCCACTAAACCTAGAATCATCAACATAACATACACTGCTACTATTATTCCTACATACAGTTCTGATCAGGTTCGGCGCCGGGATGACGTGACTAAAAATTGTGAGGGGACAATTTGTTTCAGAAAATAAAACATATTGCAATAGTTTCAGAAAAGCTAAATAAAAACAACATAAGACAAGAAAAGAATCAAAGACTAGGTCTACATTTATTAATCAGAATAAATATTTTCAAAGGTGTCAAGCAAACTAACAAATTTATTACAGTATGAAAGATGGATACTGGAGAGAGAAGTGATTGTTTATTAATTAGAATTATTTGTTACAGTATTGTGTTAAAATGGAGGATTTGGATGAATGTGTGGGATTATGAAGGCTACTTTTTACTCTAAAAGATTGTATTGTAGTTTGTAACTGTTGCAAAATGCAGATTTACTTTTAAATAAATCCCTCTTGTCATCTCTCTTCACATCCCTCTCATTTCCCTTCTGTCTGTGGATTACGACAATGGGTGAGGAAGTGGAATCAAACTTCTATTTACAACCCTGAAAAGCAAACAGGTGAAGAAACTGAATTAAGTGATATATTCTATCTGTCTGTCGTCCTCTGTTACAGTATTACGGACAGTGCAGCCTTATAGCCACATGTATCTCAGCCAATCATTTGGTTATTGTTGCTATTTTTCTATAGACACATAAAGTATAAACGTAAAAATACAACCGAGGCCTCAAACCCCTTTAAGATGCTGAAACAATTAGTCCATTAATGAAGGTCTTTTTCATCATTTCTTTTAAATTTATTTGTCAACTAAAACAACCAAATATTGGATGATTAGAGCTTCACAAATATTTGTTTTTCTAAACTGGTCAACTAAAGTCTTTTAAAAGAGAATAAATGTAATTCTGCTCATGGCAGTAACATATTCTGAAGAAACTATGACTGCACACTAGGCTGCGATCATTCATCACGATACAGTGAATTGAACTGTTGTGTGGTTTTCCTCTCTTCAGAATAATAAAGAGACTGAAGTGACTTTGCAGTGTGACGTTGTAGTCTATGTCCTAAATTTCCAGCCTGGAAAAAAATCCCCAAGTAACAGGAAATGGCATCAAACTGGGAGCTACGCCAGTTTTGTGCAGCTGATTCATCAGATTAAAACCTGACTGCAGTTCCTCCCTGAACCCACCAGAGGGCAGACTGATGCAGTTGCTGTCTCGGCCCAGCTTCAGCAGTCTGCTCTTCTTGAAGTGGCCCTTTCTCTTCTTTACGCTGGGTTTCTCCTGGTACACCTGGTGGATGATGATGTTCAGCTCTCGCTCCACGATGTCGATCTCCCTCTCCGCCAGCTCCTGCTCTCTCCTCCGCAGCTGCTCCTCCTGCTCCCTCTGCTCCTCGGCTGCTCGAGCCAACGCCTCCTCCCAAGATCTCAGCTCCTGGGCAGAGGGGAGATTATGAGGAGAGGAGAGGAGAGGAGAGGAGAGGAGAGGAGAGGAAGAGGTGAAGTAGGAGAGGAGAGGCGAGGAGAGGAGAGGAGAGGAAGAGGTGAAGTAGGAGAGGAGAGGAGAGGAGAGGAAGAGGAAGAGGAAAGGATAGGAGAGGACAGGACAGGAGAGGAGAGGAGAGGAGAGGAAAGGAGAGGAGATGAAAAGAGGGACAGGAAAGGAAAAAAGGAAGAAGAGAGGATGACCAAAAGAGGAGAGGAGATGAGAGGATGAGGAGGAGAGAAGAGGACAGGAAGAGGAGGAAAGGAGATGAAAAGAGGTAGAGGAGAGAGTAGGGTGAGAAGAAGGGGAAAGGAGAAGAAAAAAGGGACATGAGAGAAAAAGAGGAAGAGGAAGAGGAGGATGAGAGGTTATTAGCATAGCAGCACCTCTTGTGATAACAGGCTTGTTGCTGAGATAATTCTAACTTGGAGAAACACCTCAGAGAGTGAAAGAGTGAAATTACTGCCAGCCTCAATATGAAATCAGATTGTTTTTCTGCTAAAAAGCTCAAATAAAACCTTCTCAGTTAAGATCACTTTTATCTTTATCTTTCTTTGATCTCTTCATCTTTAACTACTCTACGTTATCTTGACTGCTCAAAGTCCGTTTTTAAATCTGTATTTCTTGCTAATATTATTGAATATCCCTAGCCACTCCAAGCTGACCTGACTGGATCTGTGTTTTCAGATTTCTCACCTTCTCTTTGGCCCGCAGCTCGTCAAACATCTGCTGGATCTCCAGCCTCCAGTCTTCCTGTAAGGAGTGAAAGGACTCCAGAGGCATCTGAAACATGGCCGATTGCTCAATGGTCAGCAATCGCCTCAGGATGCTGCTGAAGGAGGGTCTGCTGCGGGGGTTCGGGCTCCAGCACTCTGAGGGACAAGAGTTATTACTGAGGTTAGTGTTTATAGTGTATTTTATAGTCCTAATCAGATGCTAGGTGAAACATCATTGTAGTTGTGAGTTCATATGATGGAGGTCATTACATTACTTTATATACATTTAGCAGATGAATAGCTAGACAGACTCTATAGATAGATAATTTCAAACATGTAGTTTCATTTAAAATAAAGGCTAAATAATTTCCTTAAAAACCTGGGCACTGTAGTTTTTAGTAAATGTTACTCAATCAGGAGTAAATAGTGGATTTGTTGGGGACTATTTTCTGTGGTGGATGGATACACATTTGGTGCTCTAGTGAATATTTAGGGCAGCAGGGGCAGTGTACGTGGGATCGACTGTAAATAAACTACAGCGTGTGTGTACGTGGTAATGAAGGAACATCACCCAGTGGAACAATGTGGCTCATTGATGTGTTTCTAATATTTTTTGGACAACAATGGAGCTCTATAGCACAAGAGAGCTGCGGCAGGCTTCGTTAGCAGAAGACTTTTCCTTTCATCGACATTCATTCCTAAAACACAGGTCAAAGCGTACAAACATCTTGTTGTGTAGTTAGACTGAACCATGAATTTTTGGTCTAGATATATTCTTTTTTTCCCATTTCTGGCAGTAGAGAAGGCAACATGAGAAAGTGGAAGCGAGCAAGATGGGACAGCATATGGCAACCGTCATGAGCCAAACCCTGACTGACAGTGTTGCAGAAACATGGTGCACACCTACAATAATCTGCTGAGCCACACACTGATCAGCACGATCTCCACAACATGATTAAACCAACCATCTACTAAAAAGAATACAATTCATGCTAAAGTACATTTTGTCGAGCACAACCAGAGAGCTGTTTCTCAGTTTATAGCAGGTACAGTTTGTTTATTAGGTAACCTAAAATTGGCATGAAAAGAATGTGGATGAAGTTGGAGGGAGAGGAGATGAAAGTGAGATGATGACAGGAGTAAACAGAGTGTAGAGAGCAGCGAGGCATGAAAAAGGAGAGATTAACGGATGAACATGGATAAGAAGAAGTGGAGTGAGAGGAGGGATGAGGAGGAAGAGCTTTAGGAGCAGAGTGGGAGGGAAGTGGAGGGAGGTGACTGAAATTGGCTGGCAGTTTTAAGAAACAACTACCTCTTGCTTTTTTTTTAACTAGATGTAAAAAACCTGACCTGCAGCTCACCCATCCACGAAGAAAGGAGCTTGGGGAATAAGCACATTAAAGCAATTTGGATATATGGCAGGTGCGTGTGTTCAAACAGAGATGACCTGAACTGTGAAACAAGAGCCGGTTAATACTCTACCACTGTTAACAGAGCGCTGCCTGGATTATTTGCAAGGTGAAAAGGAGAAATCCGGCCCAGGGGAGCTCAGGCGCAGGACTGCACGCGGATGTATAAAAAGCAACTTAATGAAACTGTTCAGACTTCAACCATTTTAACTCTTTAGTGTTCATCTGAGAATAAAAAACTACTCATCTGTGACCTCAAAACCTCCAGTAATCTCAAACCCATAACATGTAACATTAAAATGACTATAAACACTAAACCTGTATTATAAATGTTGTTGTGTTGTGTTCTTAAATTATCCCAAATGTTTCCAACAATGTTCAAACCCAGAGAAATCTCTCATTTTATTCAGGTAAAGGTGCGCTTTAATCGGTCACCTGTCAATGGTGCATGTGTTGTGTGTGTCATAAATTGACATTTTTATGATACACTTTTTAGATTTTCTGCATTTCTAACTATATATAGGTTAACTGGATGAAGGATTTTAGTCATTTAAGTTATCAGAGAAACAAGATGAGCTGACGTTAGAAGCAGCTCGTCTCCAAGGCGGTCTTCTGTGTACTGAACAGTGTCGGAGAAACACTCTTTTTTTAAGTTTTTTAAATTGCTGTATTTGGTGTTTTTACTGGTTTTGCCACCACATCTGTTTGTTCTGGAGAGAAGGAGACCTCTGTGGATAATTCAGCTCCTGGTAAAAACCTAATGAACACTGAAAGAATGACAACTCCCATGATCCCACGCTTACATATTGTACATTTAAAGTAACCACAAGTGAGTTTCAATCAGTGACATGTTTAAGTTTGTATTTGATAACTGATGTACAGTCCTAAAAGAAAAAGCCCAAAGACATAAAACTAAACCTGCCAACCATGAATGAATACAACAACAGAGACGTAGGAGGAAGTCGTACGATGAAAAAAACAAACATCTGTCAAACTGTTTTCACAGTGAGACGTTTTTTCTTCCTTGAAAATCACAAATCTGTATTCTTGGATTTAATAACCACTCAAAGTGTCCAGGTGTTCGGGCTGCTTACCTGCCAGCAGCTGAGCGAAAGGTTCAGGGCACGTTGAGGGGACAGGAAGTGTTAGCTTGTTCATGGCAACACCGTAAGCCACTGCCAGAGCGTCTATCTCCCGGTAGGGAACCTCACCGGTCAGCAGCTCCCACAGTAACACACCGAAACTGTGACACACAGAGAGAGAAACACAGAGAGAGGACAGACAGGGAAAATGTTACCGGTTTTGTTTTTGTCTTTATTAGATACGACAACTGAAGATAAGGGGGGGGGGGGGACTTGAACCCATGACTGCTGCAGCAAGGACACCAGGGCAGCATCTCCATGACAACCAAGCACAGTCTACCTCCTGATGAAGGACAGAAGATGCTGATGAAGGCCCTGGAAATCTCCACTGACTGAAAACTGAATTATTTGTCTGTGATGCAACATATTCAGGATACAAAGTTAAAATAAACAACAAAATGTACACGCCAGCGGTGGAGAATAAATATGTAAGTTTACTCAAGTATTGTACTTAAGTACACGTGTGTGGTGCTTTTAGTTTACTTAAGTATTTATATTTAATACTTCTGTATCTGGGTGAAATGTTGTACTTGTTATTCCACTACATTTATCTAACAACTGTAGTTACTTAACATATTAAAGTTTTATAAACAAAAAATATGAGGAGCTTATGAAATATGATATTACAGAATAAATTACCTAACTTGACTCAAAACTGGCTCCATCTTGACGAACTACAGGAGTAAAAAATGCTGCTTACACATTAGTGCATCAGTGAATGAATAATCTGATTTCAAATGTTTTTGAGTATATTTATATTGCAGTTTTGTTGATTTTGTTACTACAAGGAGTTTTTGGTGACTGGTCATGAAACACTCAATTTAATACTGATGCGTCTATATGATCTAGATAAACACAGGAGACAATCAGTGGTCAGATTCAGTCGGGTTCCCCTTGAAATCAATTAAACAAGGCGGTGGAAACACTTTTAATAACAGAATAATAAGATTTAATCTGACTTTACTGGACTATAAAATCAAGTTGTACAACCTTTAATGCATTTATTCTTGAATCTCTTTTTAAAACCCCTCAGTTAAACTGAAGGTCACTCAAAGCAATTTCACAAAACTGTCTGATATTCCTCTTCCTATACCTCCAGTTGTTCTGAAGAAGTCTGTTACTGTATAAATCTGGGGAATGAGGTGAAACACGGAGACGAGTGCAGTACCTCCACACGTCGCTGCTCTTGGAGAAGAGCGAGAGCTTGATAACCTCCGGGGCCATCCAGGCGTACGTCCCCGCTGCACTCATCTTGGTGGTCTGGTGCCACTCTCTGGCCAGACCGAAGTCTGTGATCTTCAGGACTTTCCCGCACAAATCGTCCCGCTCCACCGGCTCCAGGATGAGGACTGAGGACAGAGATACACACAACAGTTTGAGTTAAAAGATGACAGTGCTGTACACACAGCGCTCATCAGACAGCAACATTCAAAACAAAAAACTGCTTCTGTGACGTTCAGATCTGTAAATGCTCTGTGACAAGAGGTCAAACAGCAGAGAGAGCTCAACGGGTCAGGAGTTATTACTGTAAAAATCCTGTTGTGACTGTGAATGTGTGGCTAGTTTTATACAATAAAACTGAAGTATTCTCACTTTTAAGTTAACTAAAGTATGAAATATTTACTGGTTTTCACTTTCTTACATGTGAATAGTTGCTGGTTTTCTTTGTTCTTTATGATAATAAACTGAATTTCTTTGGTTAGTCGAACAAAACAGGCAGTTTGAAGACCTCGGCTTGGTTATTTGTAAATGTGATGGATGATTTTTCACTATTTTATGAACCAAAAAATGTATCAATTTATAGAGAAAGTACTTAATGAATCAAGTAAATACACAATGTTGTATAACGAAATGAAAGTTTGGAGTTCCTTCATGCTGCACACATAAAAAAAGATAATTAAATTCATAAAATAACACAGAACATAAATAAAATAAACCAATATATACACAATATAAGAGAATTCATTGACACTCGGATAAATCATCAAAATGTGACTTCATAATCTTGTTGATTTTAGTCAATTTTAAGTATTTTTTAAAATTGTTTTAGTCCAGTTTCTGATCCAGTTTAATACCACAGAGATGTAAAACTGTGTCACAAGGTAAAATACTAAATGTAAAAGGTGTACAGGTGTTCAGAAACAAGCTCATGTTTACAATACAGGTGTGGTCGGACCAGTGTGCTGTTCAAGGTTTCTCTGGTCCAGCAGTCTGCAGTGTGTGTGTGTATATATATCGTCCATACAGTGACAGACATTTTAATTTAAACAGTATCCTCATAAATGTTAGAATTCAACCCCGTCTCTATGTCTCCCTGCTACGACTTCCTCCTTCATTTCCGTGTGAGGGCTGGCTATGGAAATATTTGGAGTGTACACAGTTCACAGGCACTGGGAGGCAGGTGGGGGTTGCTTTCTCCCTTTCTCACTTATCTACAGGCGTATGCAAAGGGTGGTGGAGAGAGGCTACACACACACACACACACACACACACACACACACACACACACACACAGCGGCGTCTTTGTTTACACACATGCACACACACACACACACACAGGGTTTCACGTGATAAAGGTGTGCCTCTCTGTGCGCCGCTCTGTCCACAAGCTCGCTAGGAGACCAGTTTCAGAGATAAAGAATTGATCTCAGGCCAGTCTGTAGATATTTCCACAGTCAGAAAGAAGTATTCACATTCTGTACTCGAGTAAAAGTAGCAACACTACACCGTTAAAATATTCTATTACTAAGTAAAGGTAGTGTGTTGAAACTTTTACTCTCTTTCAGTGTTATAAGGGACGTTATTACTGATGCATGTTGTTGTATTTCTATTTTCTTTATAATTGTGCTCTTATTTCAGGCTCCTTTTTAGCCACTACTTTTATCTGATAGTTATTTAACATATTAGGATTTTACATAAAAAACAATGTGATAATCACATTGTTAAATATTAAACCAGTGGTTTCCAACTTAATTGGCTTGGAGATGTCTATGAGAGATACTGGTTTCATTCAAATAATTGTTTGATTATTAATAATTAATCTGCAGATTAATTAATAATCAAAATAATTAGTGGAGCAACAGAAAAAAAACTGAGTGAAAATGTTGAATATTTGCTGGTTTTCTTCTTTCTTCTATTAAAGTAAATTAAAATCTCTGAATTTTAGACAAAAAAATATCAGACAAAAAAGCCGCTTTGTCAACTTCTCAACAGACAACAAACCAAACAATTAATTGATTCATAGAGAAAATGATCAGTATATCAATATATTCAGTCCTGCAAGATCTTTTTTAAATTATATTTTGTAGTTGTTTCATATGAATTTAAAGCCCTTCATATACAATATATACAGAAAAATATAAACTTTATATATAAAGAAAAGAGCAGATTATATAAAATGAACAGAAACTGCTGTTTGCATTTTTTGGTTAAGTATGATGTCAATAATGGAAATATTATATATATACGTATATATATATGTATACATTTCAGACTATTGGGCTTTATTGTTGTAATTGAATGCTGAAGTGGCCCTCCTATGAGATGACAAAACCAGCCACGGACCCAAGCCAGGTCGAGTCCCCTGTTTTATAAGCTAATCAGATAAATGTAGCAGGATAAAAAGCAGATTTTCCTTTAAAATGCAGTGAAGTATTAATATAAAGTAGCATGAAATGAGAATACTAAAGGGAAGAAGTGTTTCAAACATTGTCCCCAGACGTCTTTTCTATTCTGATACTGTCGTCTCTGTGAGGGACAGCTGTCTCCTCAGGCTACCGTGCTCTCTCTCTCTGTGTCTCTGAAAAGCAAAAGCTTTGCTCTGAGACAGACTCAGAAAAGATTGAGAGGACTGGATGTGTTTGCATGCTTAGATGGGTGTGACCTCTGCACAGTCCACCTTTCCTGGTTTGTTTTGTGTGCATGAATATAGAGCACATCTATACAGGGGGAAAAGGACATGAGGCCTGCAGGGTGGAGTGGAAACAGAGAGGACAGAAAAAGAGAGATAGAAACTGAATGGAGGCACGTTAACGGAAACTGAACGTGTGAGCGAAGCAGCACTTCCACCTGCTCCCGTTCTCCTCCTCATGTAATTATACCATCGTCGTGTTACTTTCACACCTCGAGAACGTCTCAGTGCAGCTTTGCTAGCACCTCCTGCGCATGTTCATTCATTTGGCCACAGGTTTTCACTACCGCCGGCGTTTCATCCATACGTCAAACACAAAGATCAACATGTTTGTACTCGGCTGGCAGCACAGAAACCTGAAGTGCAGCAACACACAGATAACACCCGCAAGGGCGTCAGAAGCATCACAGCACATTTTATCACAGCGGAGAAAAAAAAGTCCTCAAGGATAATGTGGCTTTTACACAAACATTGCGCTGCTGGAAATGTTATCTCAAAATAGAGTACGAATGAGAAGAAAGCAAGAAATGCTGCTGTCGAGCTCCCTGCTCACTACAAAGGCTCCCATAGCAACCTGCATTATAGGAAATATCAGTCTGTTATAATAGAAAATGTGAGCTTGAACTGGATCCAGTATGGTTTCTCCTTCGTCTTTTTTTTTCTAATTTCTTTCTATGTCCTCCAGTGAGATCCTTTTCTGTGTAAAGCCGATATCAATCTTTATCTTATCAATGACCTGTGTTATAACCTACAGAGAGCCACTCAATAAGGTCACCTAGCTCAGGGGTTCACAAACTTTTTTCAAGGACCCTCCATTAGATGCAATTGACCGCCCCATTTGGGGATTTGTTTTCGATCCTCTGTGGGGTTTTTTAGTTTTAAAGATAATAAAGTCTTCATCGTCAATCAATATTCAAAGGATCCCTATAAATCAAATAAACTTCTGAGCCAAAGTATAGGACAAACTGAACTTTGATCTCATGGTGGGGCTAAAGAAAGCATCAGATAATCATTATTATCATCCTGTGGGGAGAATAAATGTCTCAAAATTCATGATAACCCATAGAAAAAGGTATAAAAGGCTCCTGGTCTGTTGTGAAGGAGCAACAATATTGTATAATAAACCTATAAAGGTCTGGCACACTATGGGTGTGCAGTAGTTTGAGTTGCAGACTTGGAGGAGGACTGAGATGGGACACACAGTGTGAAACTTTATAGCATGCTGCAGATCTGGACACAACCCAGAAACCGCCATTACAGCCGAGCATTAGTGAAAAGCTGTCAAAAACACCTGCTGATTGAGGAGTGGCCAGAGTGTCAAATTTTCATCCCACAGAGAGCAGCAGCGGCACTTTTCTTACTGTGTTGATTTAACCTTTAAACTGCTGCCGTTCTCTCCTCCATCCTTGGACCCTGAACCCTGGCTAAGTGTTGAGAAATGCCACTGAGTCACTGTTCAAACACCGTCGGAGGAGTAACCAGCCCGGCTCTAACCTGACTAATGATCTCCAGACAGGTTAGTAAGTGCAGGTGACATATTAGCCTCCAGCCCACTCAGATATTTCACCACTGAAGAATGCAACCGGAGTGATGGTATTTCTGTCAGAGACACTTACAGCGAAGTTCACAACACCTTAAACAAGCAGTGCGACGTGTTCGGCTCTAATCTGGAAACTCCCTGCCGGTTTCAGCAGAGAACAGAAGATAACGTTAAGTCAGCACTTAAAATAAAAGATTAGACCGTTAATAGAGTAAACAATTGATTGGGATTGCAATGTAAGCACCAATTAAAGGATTAAATATTTAATTTTTCATCCAATCAAAACAAAACCTTATATGATTAATACGAACTAAACTAATAAAATTGTGTTTTAAGGTCAAGATAGCACAAATAATATGAATCTATTTAAAAACCCTCTGTACATGATTTTTAATAGTTGTTATTTTATTTAGTTTATAGCCACAAAAGAAAAAAAATGTACAAAAGAATGAAACAATTTGTAGTTGCTTTCTATGATTATTTTAAAATTTGTATTAAACTACAAAATAATTACAAAACACTTTATCTGAACATTGGCTGGTTAATCCAAACTGTTATTGTCTCTCTGCGCTGCCTCGCCTTAAATAAACTAATGTGATGTGAGAGCGACCAATCAGCCACCAGAGGTTTGGGCGTGGTCATCTGAGCCGTCAGCTGAGAGATCTGGTCTGATCAGCTGACTGCAGGTGGTTCAACCTGTCAGAACTAAAGCGGCTTTCTTTGTTTTTTTTTATCTGTCAGGTGAAAAGAAACTGGAGCTTATGACTAAGATACACAACTGGGATATGATACAGGTTGGAGATCTGTCAGTATTTGATGCAGGTTTTTGCAGTTTTTGACACAGATGAAGAAATTTAATTCAAAAACAGTAAATTAGAGATCAAACCACGCAGAAAGAA